GTAATAAAAAGAAATTAAAACCCCCCCAACATATACCCCCCCTGCCACAACTACTGCATTCCACAACAGAACCATCAGCATTCCTGGATCTTACAGATGCATCTCCAGAAATGTAATATATCTCATCCAATGCACCAAGTGCCCTAATGGAAAATATGTAGTAGAGACCAAACAACAACTGCGCACCAGAACGAATGTATACTGGAAATCTATTAAAGACAAGAATACACAATTACTGGTGGGGGCACATTTCTCACAAGAAAAGCACGCTCTCTCCAATCTCTCAGTTCTAATTCTCAAAGGGAATTTACAAAGCACTTTTCATAGACGGACCTATGAACTTCACTTTATCAACCTCCTGGATACAAAAAATCATGGACTAAATATAGACATTGGATTTATGACACATTATCACCTGCCTAACATCTGACTCCCCAGGTACCTCTCCACTATTTACCAGCTACATTCATTCCCTTTCCTCCCCCCACCCCCGCTCCCCCTGCCTGTCTTTCACCCACTGACTCCTCAATTTACATCTTCACTAACTGGATTTCTTCCATACATACCAGCCTCTGGCTTCTTTACTGGTCATTACATCCAGGAAGAGCACACACCAACTGCAGATGCTTCCTCAGCCTGACAAAGGGTATTTAAACCTGAAAGCTTGCTAAGAAAAATGTTTCCAACTATTTGAATTGGTTTAATAAAAGATATCAGATTTACCCAAAGAACCTTGTCTAGAACCAAAGAACCAAAGTATATAGATATTTAGAATTTATTTTATTATCATGATAGAGGCATTGGTAGGCTTCCAAATTGCTTTAAAATTGTAAATATATTAATAAAATGTTGCCCAACTGATCTCTCTCTCTCTCCATATATATATATGAGAACATGGATTTGGGGGTATTTTAAAGAGTGAATTTGGAATTTTTAGGACCACATATCTATATCTATATCTATAGATATATATAGATATAGATATATGATCCTAAAAATTCCAAATTCACTCTTTAAAATATATATATATATATATGGTCCTAAAAAATTCCAAATTCACTCTTTAAATTACCCCAAAATCCATGTTCTTCCATGATTAAAATAAAACATCACTATATATATATATATTTTTTTTTAAAGATGAATTTGGAATTTTTTTATCAGAGAATTTGCAGTTTTTAAACAGAGAACACCAGGATTCCTGCTAGTGAAGCAAGTGGCAGGACCCAGACAGAAGGGGCGGGCAGAGGACCCTGCTCAGGTCTGGCACTGGGGACCCAGCTGGAGGGCAAAAAAGATGGCTGACTTCCTGGCCACTTGGGACCAGGAGGACATGCTTTGACAGTTCAAAGCAGGCCACCACAATGAGCACATCTTCCAGGTGATAACTGCCCAGGTGGTAGGGTGGGGGCACACATGGCAGCAGTACCACATGAAGGCCAAATGTGCAGCCATATCCCACTGGCAGCTGGCCCAGAGGTGCAGATGACTTTGCTACAGTGCCCATGCCACAGCCCAGGCGGCCGTGTGGTCCCCATCTAGTTCTGGCAGACATGCAGACAGAAGGCTGCAGGTCTAAGAGGATGGATGTTGTTGCAGGTGGCAGTAGATCACAGCCAGGCAGCTGCCTCCACTGCCAGACTGCGGCAATGGGTAGAGGGTGCAGGGGTCACTCTTGGTCAGGGATGCTGCAGTAGTCTAGCTCGCAAAGGGGGCTAGTGTCCCCATATGTCAACTGGCCAGGCTTCAGAAGCTCCTGAGAACAAGTAGCCCTGAGCTGCTCTTCAGGACAGTTTTTTATACTGCTGGGGTCAGAACAGGTGTTGGCCTCAGCCTCTAGCTCCCCCTGGCTGTAGATCCAGGAGGAGCTGAGCAGGGAGAGTTTGCCACAAGTGGCACAATTTGCCCCACACCAAAATACATGTTCAGGCACGTGTGCTGAGATACAAATCTCTGGCAGAAATTTGAGGTGGTGTTATCTGAGCTGCTGCAAGCCCAAATGCCTGCATGTGTGGATATGCCTTGTGTGTCCCTAGCTACATATTTCCTATTTCTGACTTCTTTCAACAAAGTAAGCAAATCATGCCATGGCTGGCTTAAATGAATGCTACCGCCTTCCCAAAGTAAAAAAAGCATCTCTTTTTCACATGATCTCTTTTGTCTGATAATGTTTAGAAGGTATTTTGCACCAAGTTTACAAGCATATTTCTCCATTCAGTCCTTCCACCTCATTTTCTCCCATTATATACAGAAAAAAAAATGAAATCTCCAATTTCAAGTTTGTTTTCTTTATTAACATTTAAAGTATTGTTCCCTCTTTCCTTCAGCCTTCTAGAGTTAATCCTTTTCCTTCCCAATTTTTTCATATCACCAACCCCCCCACCCCAGATACAAGCTTGCCCTATATT